AAAAAAAAAAAAAAAAAGAAAGAAAGAAAAAAAAAATTCCACTATAATGCAACATTTTAAATTAGAAACAATTAAAAACGACTAAAAAACATTTTCGTAGAGACGCCATTTTTAATGGACTTGCCTTGTTGATCAGTAATGTTTACATGGGTGAATAATAGAATAATAGATTTGCTATGGTGTGAGAAACGAATCCTAGATCAATAGAAACCATGTGTAATTGGAGATATGTGTTGTTCGCTGTGAGAAACATGGGCTTGTACCAACTGTGTTGAAAGGCTTTGGATATTTTTTTGCCAATGGATGCAAAATAAATATATTTGTTACATACCAAATGCCAAAGTCCATTTTTCTCGTACTCTGATTGGACTAGAGAATATCACGTGGACGTTAACAAAATTTGATGTTTCTCCGACAACTGATCTCAGAGGGCAACGATACGTTGTTGACCGGAAATAACTGTACCGGAAGTGACTTTCACGGAAATATAAGTTTTCCCAAGTTTTAAGAATTGAAATAATCAAATACTATTTTGTTTTATTTGACATTTGGTATAGCAACAAAACACTTATTGACTTGAACCTCGGGAAAGCAGTGTGTTTCGGTGGTCCCTCGGCCTCGCCTCGGGAAACATCACCGTCTCGGGACCACAAAACACACTGTTTCCCTCGGTCCCAGTCGATAAGTGTTAATTATTGCTATTGATCAGTGCGCTGTCGGTGAAGGCTTGGCCATTGTCAAAGATCGAATAGAACGTTCTTGGTGGCCTCCCACATCTCCGTCATTCTTGGCCTCTTAAATGAGATTGCAGACGTACTTGGCAATTAGAATATTTTCTTAGCTTCTTATGCATGTTCCAGTAATACGCACTATATTTTGAGCACGTGCCTTTTTAGTCTCTTTCTCGTCTGATCTAGAGTATAGTAGCTTTGTTGTAACCCATGGATTCCTTGTTCCTCTGGATATCAGCGACGCTTGAAAACAAAAGTAATTCGAAACGGATTTTATCCTATACCAGTGCGCGCAATTCGCCTATAGAGGCAAACCACACATCCGTGATTAGTACAAAATGAAACCGTTGAAAACAAAATATATGTTTAGTGCTATTTATTTTTTCTGCTATTTCACGGATATATGGTTTGTAATATTTTTTATTAGTAGCAGCAAAGAAAGTAGTCTCCCTCGCATCCGTTTTTAGTGTCGGTCGGTCGGTGCTTAAAATCCCATGATGTGATACTTGATTCCTGTGTGCCTATTACATACCGTATCAAATGTCTCGTCAGAGGATTTGTCTGCTGTACAAAAAAATTGTTTCTTGCGATACATAAAGCTCCGATCCAAAAACCACGCAATAATGAACTTTGTTCATAACACTAGCTATGTTCAAGGCTACAAGACTTATCTTAAAAGATCTAACCAAAGAGAAGCCAATATTTCTTGTCTACAGCAACACATTCCAGCAGAATTACAAGAGCTAGAACTTGGTAAAGGCAATCCGAGGTTCAGCATACTCAGTATTGGGGCTGGAGATGGTTTTATTGATCAGGAAATACTGAAGTTTGTACGAGTAGGATATTTGAACGCAGGCGACAAACAGTTGCAAGAAGTTGAGATCCTGAATACAGCGGTTGAACCAAATACTGCGTTCCTTGGCCAATACAAAGAATCCATTGAAAGGCCATCTGACGAGACAAAAGGTCCTTCAAATCAAAGGTCAATTCAGTTTGATCTCAAACCGATGTCATTTGAGGAATACGCAAAGAGTAAACACGATCAAAACCAGTATGACCTGGTCCATGCCATACACAGTCTATACTATGTGGAGAGCATGGAGTCTACATTGAAGCATTGCTATCACAACGAACTGGGAGAAAAAGGATTGATTGTATGTCTGCTTGGAACAAAGTCTCATTTCGCTATTTTAACCAAATTTATCCTAAAGAAATTTCGACCTGAATACCGAATACCTTCAACCGGTACTGCTGAAGATGTCATACGCGTAGCAGAAAAGAATTTCATGAAGTATAAAAAGGTGGTTGTTGCTTTCTCGGTTGACGTGACAAGCGTTTTCGACCAACGTTCTGAGGAAGGAGGTCATCTGCTTGACTTTAGTACACTTGAAGATAATTATCATCAAACAGCCGACCCAGATGAGCTCAAGGAGATTTTGAAGATGTTTCTCATACTCATTAATTATTCATGAGGTAACTAGCCAATCGATTACCTCGTACCTGGTCACATGATGTATCTTGAAACTAGGTCAAGTGTCTTAAAGCCGGGGAGGGTTTTGATATCAGCAGGGAAGAGGTGGGGCTGATGAATTGGAACAAAAGAAATTAATTCAGTCGACCAACAACTGGATCAAAATTAATTCAGTCCAAGGACTGGAACAAAATTAATTCAGTCCAAGCATTGAATCAAGTCAATACATAGAAAGATGAAAACAGAAAATTTAATTCATCAAGCATTTATTTCAGAAGTTATTACCAATAAACTATAATCAATAATAGTTGCAAATATACTCAACACTTCGTTTAACAACTTACTTAGATTTAGATATTAATGAAATTTCAAAACAATTTGCTATCGTAAACTTAGCATTTTCTATAAGTATAAATATAAGTTTTAGCATTCATTCAAGCGCAAGCTAGATTTTGAACTGGTTGATTGTAACATTACAGTTGCCAGATATATTGATAGGCCCGTCAGAAGAAAAGCTCCAAAAATTAGAACATGTATTTTCATT